GCAAGCAAGAAAGCAAGCAATCCAAGCAATCTAAGCAATCCAACCAAGCAAGTCAACCCATGCAAGCAAGCAAACAAGCAAGCAAGCAAGCAAGCAAGCAACCCAGCAAGCAACCCCGGCAAGCAACCCCAGCAAGCAACCCCAGCAAGCAGGCAAGCAAACAAGCAAGCAATCCGAGCAAGCAAGCAAGCAAGCAAGCAAGCAATCCGAGCAAGCAAGCAAGCAAGCAAGCAAGCAAGCAAGCAAGCAAGCAAGCAAGCAAGCAAGCAAGCAAGCAAGCAAACAAACCATCAAGCAATCTATGCAAGCAAGCCACGCAAGCAAAGTAACCAACTAGCATACTTACTACAAAACCATCAGCAGTCCGCCCCCTAAAAACTGCGCCGCAGTCCCACGAAAAGCGCGCAAGCGCGCAAGTTGCTCCTTGGCCCTGAGCTGGCTGGGCGGGCGCAAATATTCCCCCTCGGGGCTCTGCGGCGCCAACTCCCGGACCATGGTACGCCACGCCTGGCGGCGGCGGCTTCAGCAGTGCGAGAAACACTTGGAGCGAGCACAGCCAGGGAAGTCATTTCAAGTGGATCGGGCTTGAGGAAGCGCCAAGGCAGGGCGTTCAAAGTCCAGACCTGCCCCAAAAACAGCCAGATCGAGGCGGGGAGGAAAGCAGGGGGGCTAGGCCAACCACAAGAGCCGCCTCTAAGCACGGTAGGACAAGGGCGCAAAGAGGTGCCACCCAACACAGCAAGCAATGAGCAGACCAGAAAACGAGCCAAGCAAGTAAGAATACGAAGCAAGCAGGGCCGGATATGAGGAAGCGCCACAGTGGTGAGAGCACCCGAGACCAAACCACACCAAACACGGTTGATTCAGAAATGACCTGACCAAACCATACGACCAACCAAGAGACTTGAGATCAACGCCATGGCATTCGTTTCGCAGCTGACTCAATCCTGGGTCAACAAATCTACTTCCACTCGCTTGCCCATTCTTCCGATTTGGTCCAGTTGCGTCCGATTCCGAGCTCCATTCCACACGCAAGGCGCCAAAGCGCCTCGCGGCTGCCCCACCTGGCCGCCTTCACCAGCATCTTCTGGCCGCCGAGGAAGGAGGAGGCCACCTGACTGCTTCGCAAATAGAACTCGAAACCCAGTGGGAGGGTTCAAACATTTCTGTTTCAGCGGTTCTCTTTTTTTTCAAAACCCAAAACTCAAAGCTTTCCAATTCTCAGCTCTGCTTTTTGCCAACAAAGCAAGATGTTGCTTTGCTAAGCGCGGCGAAAGAGGCGCCATCCTGTTGGTTGCTTGTGTTGGTGGCACAGCAGTGAGGCCGGTTTTGAGTTTTGTGGTCTGAGCGGCTCTCAGCGCAAGTGGAAAGGTATTGGCAGGTCCGGCCACAAGAGAAACCTTTCATGGTCCCTGTGTGAACGGGACAATGTGATCAGTTCCCAGGGCAAAATCGTGTGAGGTTCTCGCTTTATGTCGGAAATTTTAGTGAGCATCTTATGTCATCCCAAACAGCAACCAACCAATCAGCTTGTAAGTTGCTCACTTGCAACCAACGGAACTTGAAGCGAATCGACAACGTGCCCGAAACAAATCGAGCGGCATTCCGTCAAAGGAACCATAACCCAACCGTCTGCAGTCTGCTGACAAATTATGCATTGAGCTCACGACGACAGCTCCAGACCCCGTTAAAACGATCCAGCATCCCAACAGTCAAATGCAATGATGAGTCGTTAAACACTACTGGACTTGATTTTCACATTTCTAGCTGTTTTTGAGGACTTTTTTCACAATTCTAGCTGTTTTTGAAACCCACGAGGCAAAAAGGGCAAGGAGCGGGAACTGAACAAGTTGCACGTGGCGCTAAACATCATCCGGAAAAGCACCACTCGTGCCTCCAGGACACGAAATCCTCGGTCCGCCTGGCGGTCAAACTGAATGCCAGTGGACAGTTTGGATCATAGGACTGGTTCGGCCAATTGTGCAGGTGATAGTATTTGTACCCATTAATATTCTACCATGTGCGTTCTATGTTTCATGCGGAACCCCGTCCAAACTCCCACCCTCTCGCTCGGCCACGAAAATAACAGCAACACCTCTGCAGGTTGCGGAAAAACAATGCCACCGATTTTTGACCTGGTGTTCCTTCTTTTTCTTTCCTTTTGCGGGGTCGCAAAGGGCATGCCCGTTTTGGAGCAACCCTTTTTTTGATCTCACCTGGTCTCCACTGAACAGGTCGACCAAGCCTCATCCTGTGCGCGCACCGCCACCGGCCCACGCTTGGTGTTTCGCAGGCCGCGACTGCTGGATGATGCGGCAGCGGTAGCGGCGGCCGCCTGTGGTGTGTTTCCTATGAAGGTCTAGCTGTTTTTATGATCCAGTCTTCCTTGGGGGCCCCCACCCCCACCCCCTTCAGCCCCCCCCCCCAAATGGTTATGCTCCTGCCCCTGGATGGACCCATACCATTGGGGGGGGAGGGCTGGGGACGACGGGGACATAAATCCTTTCCAGGGATGTGTCTTGTCATAAAATGCTTGAAACAAAGAGGACATCTTAGAGGTAAGGATGGTTGCAAAAGAAGGGGGAGCAGCCTATAGAAACATGGGAAGCCCTCCTTCCATATTCACGGTGCTTTAAAGGAGATAGGGAACTCTCGTTTTGATGGCCCCTTCACCTTTGATTCAAAGGTCCCAGGCTCGTGACGCGGGCTGTTGAACGCTTTGCTATTTGCGGTTGACTTCCCGTTTCGACAATACGGGGAGACCATTTACATCCTCACAGGCGGTTGGGGCATGGGTCGTCCTGAATCGAACCCCGGGATTGGAGAACCACGCCGGGTTGATTGCCTCACTTCCTGAGTGGATGGCCCAAAAACGGGAAGATACCACTCAAATGGTCCTCCCAAAAAGTTCAAGGACACCTTTTTGGTAGGAAACTTCCCTCAACAATCAGGATAAATGTGATGGCAAGTCCCATCCTCGCCGTTGAGGTTGAACCGCCCCATTTTTCAAATGGAAGCACACAACACTGACGCGTGCTAGAGGGTCTGTAAGAAATTCCCCATCCCCTTCTGAATTCCTGTGAACATCGCAGAAACATGCCCTATCTACTACTGTCGAGATACTGCCCAGGGCCAATGTCGGCGCGAATCGCAGCGCGAACGGCAGCCTGGCGCAGATCGCAATTTCGAGGGTCCTCTTGCCAACGAGGGACCATCCCAAAGCATACTCACTTGCTGAGTGGATGGCCCAACAAAAAGCTCAAACTTTATATTTACCACTAAAACAAAAGTTTAAAGTTCATGAACTCAGGAAGTGAGCATATGTTGTACCTCAATTGGATCTGAATCCAGGGCTTACCTGTTTCCGACAGGGCTTTGACAAACCTGCGGTGACCTGCCCTGCGATCTGTAGGGAATTTGTTCGCGGTTCGCATGGCTCCAACGCTTGCAAGTGTCGGCCTTGGGCTCAGTCAGCCCCTGCTTGGCCAAGGACGCTGTGCGTGTCCTGTCTTGAGGGCCCGGTTTGAGCTGTTTGGGAAGGGCGGATGCTTCACTCAACCCGAGAAGCCAACTCGGCCAGTGAACCTGATGCATTCTCAAAGAACCCGTCGCCCTCGCAACACTGAAGCTTCCCAAGCCACTTCCGGAGTCTGCGTCTTCCCTCAGCTGCCACTAAGCCCTTACCCAAAGTGTAGAACAATGGCAACATCATTCCTCACTGGCCATTCAGCAAAACAACATGGAGCAATGTCAAAGAAGCTTTCTTTTGTCTTGGTCGAGCTTGGTGCCGATCTCATTTGGAACAGAATAATGTTGCTTCTGCCAAATTGCGCAGAATGTCTACTAAGAGAAACCACACGTTTCTGCAACAAGTTTATTTTTTGTGGGTTCAATGGAAAACACACTGTTTTGCAAAAAACAAGAAAGTCTAAAGGTCCAACCCAATGGAGCTGTAAGCTCGTTTTACCCCCATTGAGATCGCCTTGTTCAACAGGCAGAATCATGCGCCGCTCCCCCCGCGCGGCCCGCGCCTCTCTCTGGAACTTGCAGCACGCCGCGGTTTGGCGGGGCACAAAAGCCCACAGTTGACATGGTCGGTGCGCAGTCCATCATGACGCTAAAGACGGGTCTCCGTGGTCAAGGTGCTGAGTTCAAACCGCAGGGCAGTAAGCAGACCTGGCCTGTAGGAAAAACACTTAAAACATCCGAACGTCTTAAGCATCCGTAGTCCTGGGTTAGCTCCTGCCTCGGATTTACAGGTGAGCCACTTTTAAAACAAACCCTTCGATGGTCTAAACGCTGGCGTGTTGCAACGCCCAAATCGACAGATTGTCCAAAAGGTCGCTGCGTTGGGCAACTGCAGTTGCCTGCCGAAAGCAGAAGCTAGAGCCAAAGCTGGCGACTTCTTAACGGGGGTGGTCTCAAAATAAGCAAATGGACCAAACTGTGGCTATGATTCACCTTTAAATCCAATACATGGGTTTCCCAAAAACTACACTACTTGGCTTGTGTGCCAAAAGAGTGGCTTGGGCCTCGCTTGAATTGGTTTTCGATCTTCGGGCTAGCAGTCCGCGTTCACCCAAATGGGTTTGTGTGTGTGTGTGTGTGTTTGAATAGGGGGCCCGCCAAAATGGTGGGCTTCCTCTTGGTTTTCCTTTGAAACCACCGAAAAAGGGGGTACCCTCAAAAATGGCAGACCCAAATGGGTTCAACCTAGCAGTGGTTCAGCATGTTTGAGTCCAGGTGTTGGAATGCGACCTTAGATTGTCAGGCATTCAGGGAAACAATATCGCGCACACACCCACGCCTACGCCCACACATCACCACACTCACACATACACACATCCACACATCCACACACATATATATATATATATATACACGCACAAACACGAACACAAACAGAACACGAACACACGAACGCCTAGATGGAACTCCCGATTTACACGCGACATTGTTTTGCGCAAATGTTCAACATGTGTTAAAGTTAAGCCTCTGGCTCGAAGGATGAAGCGGTTGCCTGCGCTGCAGGCTTGCAACGCTCACCATGCATGCCAAACACTTGAGCAAACCATGGGTTGGGAAACACGTAGCTGTGGGTCAAAAATAGGCTTACCCCAAAATGGAACGGTAAGAGGAAACATGGACTAAAATCTGTGGATTTTTTTTCTGGTGGTTTTATTTTGACCCACACCAACGTCAACAGAATCCTGCACACGCAGGCTCCATGGTTCAGCCACGTGCTTTGGCTTGGCAAACATTGACATTCAGCCAACTGTGTTAGACGTTGGGAGAGTGCGGGCAACCAGCAGCCAAGTACACCTTGTGGCGCTGCGAACTCCGGCAGGAAGGTCGTCATCTTACATGAGCCAGGCATCTTGCGTTAGTAAACCCATGAGTCATGATCAAAAACCCAAAACACCTGCAAAGACTCACCAGGGCAGCCGAACTGTCCTTTGATGACCTCAATCTACTTGGACTGCAGCTCATATAACTCGACAAATAGAGAGAAAGAGAGATGTTGCTTGAGAGGGCTGTGGTAGGAGTACATGTACATGCAAGAGTACCTCGGTGTTCAATGCCCAACTAATTACTCTATGACCTTACCTTTCCCTTTGCTTAGGGCCTGTCTCAAAATAGGCGCAAAATTGAAATGTGACTACATCAAGGCACGGCTCCCTCTGGCGGGTTGAGCTAACTCTTTCCCTCAGGTTTATATTTGTACATGTCCGCTGTACAAGGTCGTCGAATCCAAGAACCATAGTATCCGCTGCCAATCACATCAAGCCGCGCTGGCGCATAGTGAGCCTTCACTATCCTCAAACATGTGTGTCATGAACACGTGCATTTGGTTGTAATCAAGCGTTGTGCCAAGGATCAGCCAGCAATGGGACGAGGATTGTCCGAATGGTCAAGTATGCCCAGCAGGGCTGTGGGAAATGACCACTTCTGTGATACAACAAAAAGGGCCTCCCAAAGACTACCCCCCCCACAAAAAGAGGGGAATGCCTTTGTATCACAGAAGTGGGGAGCAGTGGCATCCAGCTTCCCGCGCCCGAACTGTTGGCTTGGTTGTCAAGGTGAAAGAGATCGTTCTTCCCCCTCGCCGATGTTCACTCACTATCGGGTGGCGAGAGAGGAAAGGGTATCCTTTCTTTCCACAAAGACGGGGGTTAGGCACACCTGCCAAGAAACCTTGGAATTGGGACCCCAGCAGAAAGGAAAATCACATGTTGTTTCTTGTCTGGTTAGTGGAAAACCAAGGGGACACCAAACAAAAAGGCGTAAGAAACGACAACAAAACAAAAAGGGGAGCTAATTCTGGGTAAGAAACCACAAAACACGAAACAAAATCCTCAGGTGGACACCCCCACGCCCAGCGCGAAGCTTGGCCGTATCTCTGGGAATGCGCGCCAGAGCCCCGGGAGTCCGATACCAGGACTAGAAGTGTACAACCCCCCAAAAAAGGGGTCCTGTTCTCTTGACCTTTTGTTGGGGGAATCGTCTTTTGGTTGGTTTTAGCTCACTTCCGTGGATTGGGCCAAGGAAAGAGTCGATGTGTTTTGCTGCTTGCAACCAAAACGGTGCCCCAAAGTATCGTCCAAAACCTCGGGAAGTGAGCTAAAGGGACACAAGAACCGCTCACTTCCTGAGTGGACTGGCCAAAAAACGTCCAAACTCGCTCTTTACCACTCAAATTTGGTCTTCTCAAAACGTTCAAAGTCCGAAACGGAACTCGGGAAGTGAGACTCTCCTTCCATTTGGCTAAGCCCCTGGACAAAAAAAATAAGTTATTAAAATTCCTTTTGAAACCAATAAGGGGAAAACAAACACTTGAGCAAATGGAAGAGACCGCAAAGGGCGTCTTCCTCGTTCCCAAGGCGCGCCTCGCAGCTGCCCGGGCGCCAATGGCTTCTTGGCACTCCGGAAGTGGCTGAGCTGGAGGTAGGGCAGCTCCTCAGATTTTTCCCCGAACCTGAAGATTTTCTCAGTTGTTCAGTGACCCCTTTTTGGGAAGACCATTTTAGTGGGGCCACCAAAAAAAAGGAAAAGAATTGGGGCCGCTGAACAACTGAGTTTTTCCACCACCCTTGTCATATGGAGCCATTCGACGTTTGTCCTGGAAGCCACCAATTAACGCGGAACCTGAGGTAAATTCCCTGGACCTGATTTTTTGTCCCACTCCCAGTTAACGCGGAACCTGAGGAAAAAGAGATGGTGCTCCATGGGATGGATGGTTCAACTTTTTCCACTCCCACCCTTTTCACATGAGTATGGGTCAAAATTAAACCACCAGGGACCTCTACGTTTCCTTTTACCAGGGTCCAAAGTTCGACGTGTCCTGGAAGCCGCCACTTAACGCGGACCCTGATGTAGGGGGCCTGAAGGGAAGACCCTTTTCCTTCGAAAGGGACTGGGTCCCGAACGTCAGGTTCCATGTGAAAAGGATGGGAGGGTTTGAGATTTGTGTCCAACCTAAAGGACTTGTAGTGTCACAACGGCACGCTGGGAAACCATGAAGATGGGGCAGGCAGAGATGGCTCTGGGGTTGAAGGGAGAATCTCCGCTGATGCAAGTGAACGAACCATAAACTATAGAACAATGTTGGATTCTCTTGGGGGTCACAACAATGCGAATGAAGTACCCGCATGCAACCACACAACCCTGCCAATTTGCGGCAAATTGCAGGGGGTGCTTCGTTCCAAGCCGCAAACCATAGAATGTTTTAAGGTTTTCAGCTTGTCCTCTTGCAATCTCTGGGGAATCAACCGGGCTTCTGAAATCCGGTGAGTCCTCAAACCAACAGTCTCAAAATCGACCCAAGCCTACGGTAAAGAATTCACGCGGCCGCAGCTATGGTGGGGATTATCCCTTCATCTTTATCCTGGGCTTTGATTGTGGCTCACCTGTTCGGATAGCTTTCACCCCCCCCCCCCACACGCCACACCCAAAACCCAAAATCACAAAAAAACATGGAAGTCATGGAGCGAATGGAAAGACAAGTTCGTGTGGGCGCGTGCTTGTTTACAGGGAAACTAAATGTTGGAAACTGCGATTTGTTGGGTCTCCCTATCTTGGTTGACGTTGGAAGGGGAGCAAAAATTAAAATTTAGCAGCTAAGTGGTTGGATTTCCCACTAAACCACAATAAGCAAAAAAGGTAAAATGTTTCCCAACGACAACCATGAAAAGGGAACAGGCAGTTTTGAAAACGAGCACCGCCACCATTTCCAATTTGACGTAACCCATTTAGTAACCAATTTGACGTAACGACGTAACCCATTTAGTAAATGGGTCCCTTTGGTGTTGACATGTTGGAAACTATTTTGACGTAACCCATTGGGTCCCCCTATTTGGCCATGGGTCAAAACCCCGTACCCCCAGTGAACAAAATTAGTGGTGCACCTACCCCAAAATGGTATCCCATTGGTTTTGACAACCACAGCCATTTGCATGGTTTCGTCACGGTACCCATTGGAAGTCTCATGGCTCCGGCTCCTGCTGCGCTTTACGCAGCGCCGCCTGACGGAAAGGCAACGCTTAGATTGCACTCAACGCGCACACATAGGCTACATCGTGTGTACATATGTATGTATGTATATATATGTATACACATGTATACATATGTATATATGTATATATATATATGCATATACATTTATAATTTATAATCTATGTATATGAATCATAAGTATGCATACAACTTATGTAACACGCATGTAGATGGCATGCCGGTGGATGGGTCGTGATCTCGCTGTTGGTGCACTGCAACGCCTTTGCCGTTTCCAGCCAACAATCAACTCCATCAGGCACCCGCAACCTTTACATACACACAATATATATATATATATAAGTCTGATGCACATAAAGATTTTCCTTCATGTGCGACATTTGATGCATTCCAACAAAGCCAGCGAGAACAGCCAGCACAGGGCAGCGCACAGACAAGCTGCATGCATACGCCATCTATTTGAACGCATGGTGCACTTGGCCGCTTTCCTGATCTCTTGCAAGTTGGTCCTTTTTCAAATTGGCCTCCATTGAAAGCCATCAGTCCGCTATGCCATTGTGGGCTCCGGCAAACAACACACTAAGTACTTTTTGTCAGCCGCGAGCCAAATCCAAGTTCAGGACTTGCACTCCAGTGCCCCTTCTAGGGTCTTCGCTAAACATGTGCAGATCACAATCAATGAGTGTCCCTGGCTGCCCGGAAAACTGAGGCAAACAAAAAGAAGCTGGTCGCTTGAATGCAGCCAATGTCTGAGAAATAAGGTCAAGCGAGGGGCCATTGAAGATTTTCCGGCTTCTGATTGCAAAGTGCGGCTGTTTGGCTGCATCCATCATCGCGGAAAATGGAAAAAACCATCTCTTGAGCCATCAAACATCAAGTCCGTAGGGTGTCGGTCACAAAATCAAGAATCCTTCACAGCCAGCTCTGTAGCGTTCACAGCGTTCTCGCCCCAGCTGAATCGACAGCTTTCTGTCTATATGCTCAAAGTCCCCGATACCCTCAGACATGCCACAAGCTTGAAACGAAAACATCCGAGCGTTCGCATGGTGCACCCAGGGGTTACCCGCTCCACCCCTTTTCGTGTATTGTACCAACACATTACACCTAGATCGTCGAATCGGCTGAACGTTTTTTTTCTTTTTGGCACTTATCCGTGTTTTGTCCCGTGGCACGCTTCCTTCCGGAAAGCATGATGGGACATCGGCAGAATTTCGGTGCAATGTGGCGGGACATCAGTGGAAGTCAGCAGTCTTTAAGTTTAATTTGCGGAGTTGCTTTGTTGGCCGTCGGCTGCTTATTGAAATCTGCGTTTTGTGCGATTTCTGCAGAAATTTCCGACAAGCATTTCAACAAAACATATTGCCGATGGAAGATCTACAGCAGGTACGTATATACATTTATGCACATACGTGTATGTGTGCAGAGCCATTGTAGCCTACTAGCGACTATTGCTGACTACTTGCTGTCTATCACAGACTATCAGAGAGCATGAAGGACCCTCAATGTGAAAAACTTCTCACTCTCGGCGCCCCTGGTTAATTCTCAGACTGGTTGATTCTCAGGCGAGGCCAGGGACCGCACCTCTGTAACAGCGCTCTTTGGCACTGTGAGGTCCTGCGTGGTGATGGCAAACGAGTCCTGGCACAGGCGTCACAAAAACATGGGATCCCCCCGCCCCCCAACTCTTGGCTCGCAGCGGTTTCCTCCGAATCAGGCATCAACAAGGCGGCCTTTATGGGGGGGAGGGGTGGGGTTCGGGTGGGTGTGGATCTGAAAACAAATTCGTTACCCAACCATGCCAACGCAGGGATAAACAAAAACAATCCCCTTTCAAGGGAAACAGGCTTCAAATCGCATCGCTACAGCATGCATCCAAAGGCCACTGCGCACCGATTGCAACCCATACGTCTTGCAACACTCGGTTGCTTTCTGCTCCCCTGCAAATTGTTTAACTTTCAGTGGTGTCATGGAAAACTCATTAGTTGGCAACAAGTGAAAGTCCTAACATCCAAGCAAAATGCGTTTCATCCTCCCTCGCCCTTGCAGCCGGCCGAGAGGCTCGACCAGCTTCCCTATGGCCCTCTCGGATCATGGCCAGGGGTACCGACTCGTGCGTTATTTTGCTTGAAATGACCGCTGGGCCTAGGCTCATGACCAAGCAAAGGACACTTGAACTCTTGCAGTTGAACAGGCTGTCTAGCTGTAAGTACAATTTGATACACGCAGCCGGGCCGCCTTCCTTGTCTGACAACAGAGGGCCTGGGTTCATATTCAAGGTGCCCTCTTTGTTTTTGCGATTTGCTCCAAGCAAACCGCCCATCATAGCTTCCAACCAATGGTCTACTGAACCTTAAACACTTGAGGAGCGGGTAAACGAAAGCTAGCAGTTGTTGCATGAGATGGGTCGGTGACAGAGTGGATTCATAGGTAGCTTGTGTGCAACGAGAGGCCCGGCAAGACTCGTAGGATGCGACACGCAAACGCACATGGTGGCGTGGCAAACCTTGAAAAATGAAAACAACGAGAGGCGTCAGAAGCTGTCTTAAAGCACCTCTGGGTTCTGCATGCTGCGTGTGCAAAGATTCTTGCGAGGTGGTTTACTGAGAAGACTGAGGTCTCAAATGAACAAGCTGAATCGGTGGAACATGTAAAAGTTCGTAGCACCAAGTCCAAAACGGGCAAACCAAGACTGCTGAAACACTGAGCCACTGCCCGGGGGGAGGGGTGGACCAAGGAGGAATCGAGCCTGAGACGTCTAAATAATTGAGTTTTTTCAATCTTTTCGGCTCACATAATTGAAAAAATCAATCTTTCGGCAGTTGAGCCCCTTACCTTGCTTACGCAAGGAGAAACTTCAGCTAGCTAAAGCTAGCTTTCGTGATCACAGGCACCCTCCCCCCCCTCCACCCCCAAATTGGGGAGGTTTCCATGTTGGGAGGTGGATCAACCACCAGCCCCGCCCGGGTCCTTGATACCTGCAAAGCCGAACTTCTGCGCTGGCACCCGCAGAAACGTGGCCAGCGCATCCACTGCCTGCGCTCGGTGAGAAGCTCTCCGTGCATGGCCTTACAGGGATCCTTACATTATTCATCTGAACATTGCCTTGGTGGTTTCAACCTTTATTTCGGTGTTGAAAAAGCCATGTTTCAAATGGGCAAAATGTATCTTTTAAGGAGCCCAGCCTTAAACTCCTTGACCTTTGGTTCTAAAATGATCCTGGGCACATGATTCTGCCTGACTCTCCACGGATTCCGCTACCACTCGAAGCCCATGGCCATTGGGGGGAAATGGTGCGGCATATCCTCTCAAAATGATACAACGGGCTGCCCGTTTTCGGATCCCCGCTCAAAGTTTAACTTTCTTTTAGTGGGCGAAATGGAAACTATCACTACGCACTAAAAGGCTAAAAAGCTAAGGGGATGGCTGGCAGCCACAAAGGATTATATCGCTTCGTTATCGGTAAACAGGGTAGAAGCCCCTTCCAAATGGCCGAGGGTCTTGGGTGCTCAAGGCTGAGTCATGATGCCACTGTCTGAGACAATGACACGCTATGCGGGCTCCAAAATAGATATCACACAGGGGAAGTGGTGCCTCCCATTTAACAGGATTCATGACTGTCTTTAGTGAGTCTAACTAACAAGGCAAGGGTGGAGACAACGAGATGCCAGTCGCACAAATGTCGCAAGGCATATTACCAAGTGTCAATACCCAACACACTTCAATTAAGTAACACTACACCGTTTCGGTACCTGGGGGGATTTGAACCGCCCCAACTTTGTTGTCCTCATGGCTGACGCAATATGTCCTAGTGCTATGTGCTTTCGATTTGATCGACAAGCCGGGAGTTTGCAACATATGGCCATGGGTCAAAATCCAAATCGTACCCCCAGTGAATATCCGATTCAATCCAACCACGTACTACCAACCAAAATGGGATCGTTACACTATACACCTGAACATTGCCTTGAAAATGGTGGCTTCAATCTTTATTTCGGTGTTGAAAAACCCATGCTTCAAATGGTTGCAACATGGAGATCTTTTGGGGAGCCCTGCTTTCAAAGCGGGATCCCAAAGCGGAATTTTGACCGCCACAGCAGCTGCGACTCGCTGCGATCCCGCCTCCAAGGTGTCCAGGCCTCGCTTCTTCAGACGGAAGCGCCAGAAGCTGCACTCGTCTTCGCCTGGCCAAAGGACACGGCGCCAAGAATCGGTGCATTCGTTGCTCCCCAGTGTTGGACCGCAGATTTGTTGGGTTCTTTTTTGTTTTTTCCCCAGTGTTATTCGCGAAGAGAAGAACGATTTGTTGGCTCTTCTTTCTATTTTTTCTTTCCGCAGTGCCATTCGCAACGAGAAGTTCGATTTGTTGAGGTGAAAAAGTGGAAGCTGAAGCTCCCCCAACCCCGAAACCTACGTCAAACTCCAGCCAAGCGTTCAAGAAATCAACGACTTGTTCAGCATAAGGAGCCTGTGCAACGAAAGACAACGCGCAATGAAAGACACCGGCTAGGTGTGCAGGAAGTTGGCCGAGACCAAGGAGTTTGGCTGTTGCTGCAAATGCTCCCCTGGTTGAAGTGTTCACCATTGGTCACTTAACCCTGGAAGATCAACTTGCAAAGCCAGAACCACCACCGACAACCGATACGAGACACAGTCTGGAAAGGGCAGACACAAGCTTTGAATTAATTGTTCATCATTGTATCGTTGTTCATCATTGTTCAAGTGCTTTCCGCTCGCAACACCCAACTGCCCTCTTGAGCCCCTTCAATATTCAAGAACAAGGCACCAATCTTCTATCAAATCTGTCTTTCTGCAAAAGCCATAACAGCAAAACGCAGGAGGGGACAAGTGGGGAAAGGGCTTTTGTTTCTACAACTAGCCTTGGTCAGGTTTGAGGTCGGAGCTTAATATGTGCTACAATGTTCATTGTCAGCTGGTAGATTGGCGGGCAAGGCTGTAAGTTGGTCGGTGCATGCGCGAAGCTGGCTCTGTCAATTGCATCATTAGCATGTGTTGGTCCGAAATTGGACCAATGCTCAATACTCCCTCAAGTGTGAACACATCTTGACAAACGACTATAACTCATTAAGCGGAAATCAGGAACCCTCAGGCAGACTTCCATCCTTTGCCCATAACTCTCGCCTTAACATAAACCCCTGTTTGTCACTCAGTAGGGAATGTCCCAGGGTTTTGAGAATAAACCGCAAGGGGATTCCCTTCAAAGAAACCATGCGAGGTCATTCCCTCATTCCCTGCTCAAAACCAGCAAGCTTTAAGCCTCCATAAAAAAACGTAGCAATCTGACAGAAGGGCCTGGCCCATCGCCCATCTCCGGCCTTCGTCTTCTGAAAGCGGCAGCTCCTCAACCACAAAGTCCTCATAGCGGGGCAATCGAGTAAATGGACAAGTAGACTAAAACCCGCGCAACCCTTGGTCTTGAATTTTGAGCCACACCCTTTGACAGGGATCCTCACCTTGTACACCTGAACATTGCCTCGTAAATGGTGGTTTCAACCTTTGTTTGGTGGAAAAAGCCATGTTTCAAATGGTTGCAACATGTATCTTTTAAGGAGCCCTGTTTTGGATAAACCCTTTCGGGGCTACACAAAGTCTGGTCGAGTCCTCGGGGAAGCACTTCAGCGCGCCGCCGATGGGCTTCAGCTCTGGGTTCACAAAGCCGCAGATGCCGCAGTCCGCCTGGCGCGAGTCGCCCGAAACCTTCGGCGACGACTTCGGCTTCCGGTGACGATTCCGTGACCCGGCGAATTCTTGCCCAGGCCTGGTGACCACATCTACCACTCCACCGACCTAGCGAATTTTTGCCCAAGCCTGAAGCTTGGAGCTTCGCCTCGCTGGCGATTTGATTGCTTCTGTAAGGGGCCGTGGATGATGGATTGTGTCATCAGATATCCATTGCAGGCTGTGATTTTGCAAATTCAACATAGCCCGAAGCGCAGGTTCAAGGGTATTCAGTATATAGGACGGCAAGCACACGACAAGCACTTTCAAAGCAAAAGAGATATTCTCATGTTCTAAAGCTGCCTTTGTGTTCCTCTTGAGCTATGCTTCTTTGCCGCAGATTGCCGAATCCTGTCACCGTCTGAGGCTAGGTAGAGGTGTATTTTGGGCAACACTAAGGGCAAGCATGGGTACGGCTCCTATGCCAGGTGACGTATTTGCAATAAATGTTTCGTAAGATCATCTGCACCTACCTTCAAGCGCATGGGGCTGCATGTGTGCAGGCTTTTGCCCCCTGATGTTCCACTGTGGTGTAAGCTGCTGATCAATGGTGTTGATAGGAACAGCGCTAGCACCAGCAACCAAGAAGCCACGCCAGCTGCTTCTGCCCTCGGAATGTCCTCTCAACTTCTATCTAGCCCTAGCCTAAACCCTAAAGCTAGTAAATCTGCCTTCACCCACTGCAAGTTGTGTCTTGCAATCCGGAAATCGAAGCCTCGTCAGCAATGCCGCGGACGCTTCCACAGTCCATCGCAGGGATGCTGACTTTGCCCTTGCTGAATATGATTGAGTTTTCCTTACGGCCATTGTCCGGGCAGGTTGGGACTGGTTGCATCAACGGGCAGTATACAAGGTGCCTGAAAAGGGGGACTGTCCCTTGATTAGTTGGGTTGCAATCCTCTTTTGGTGACAAAAGGAACCGATTCCAATGCATTTGTGCTTATGCTCCATGCAAGAAGGGTCGATGATCTTGATAGCCCCAAATAAAAACAATATCTTGAGGATGGTACATAGGATGCAATCACGGCTCAACCGTGATAAGCCATCTGCTGGGTTCAGGCAATAAAGCCCTACTAGCGCCGATGCGTTGTTTGTTACAACTTGGTGTGAACACATTAAAACAGTCTTCGAACTCTGCCTTGTCATGGGGGACCCTGCAAGTGGTTCCTTTTGGTTTGCTGGTATGCTTGCTCGACACTGCCCAGGGCGGATACGCCAACAAGCTGAACAACAGAAAAGGGAACCATTTGATGCAGTCCGTAAAATGCCCACATGGGAAAGGCACTCACAAACTCTTGGTACGGAGAGGCAACCTCCGTCCGTCTCTGTGCCAGCTTGAATGAGCCAGGAAAATCAAGTATTATATACAATGTCCACATTACAACCGTTCTTTTGATTTCCCTTTCAATCGGACTTAAATTGGGTACCCTCAAAACACGAATTTACCTTAAATCGGACTTAACATGGGTACCCTCAAAAACACAAATACAAACACACCCACAAACACACAGACACACAGACACACAGACACACAGACACAGAAACACACAGACACACAGACACACAGACACACAGACACACAGACACACAGACACACAGACACACAAACACACAGACACACAAACACACAGACACACACACACACACAAGCACACACACACAAACACACAAACACACAAACACACAAACACACAAACACACAAACACACAAACACACACAAACACACAAACACACAACCACACAACCACACAAGCACACAAGCACACAAGCACACACACACAAGCACACAAGCACACAAACACACAAACACACAAACACACAAACACACAACCACACAACCACACAAACACACAAACACACAACCACACAAGCACACAAACACACAAACACACAAGCACACAAACACACAAACACACAACCACACAACCACACAACCACACAACCACACAACCACACAACCACACAACCACAAGCACACACACAAGCACACAAGCACACACACACACATCCATCTACACCCAGGAAACTCAGCTCACGTGCCTGACTCAATCCCAAGCAACGACCCATTGAAATGTCCAGCTGTTTGAACTTGATAAGGCAAGCGCCAGACCGCAGAAGCCGCGAGACTCGTTTACCAGCGTGGCCTATCTTGCCCCTGCATGTCTCGGCATTCGTTCATCGATGGCCGTCTTGCCCATCCGCTTTTTCTCCTATGCCATCTGCGCGGCCGTTGGCTCTCACATCACCTGCGCCGACACGAGCAAACTCGCGATCGAACTGGTCCTGTCAGCAAGCTAGATTCCATAAACTCTCACACCCAGGAACAACCTGAGGCATGCAACTGGAGGTCTTCGAAATCCGAAGGTCGCAGGAAACTTTCGCCCCGAGGGCCCGAGGGCCACAGGAGGTCGAGGTCCGCGCCTGCGCCGGTCATGCCTGGAGGCATGCACCTGAGCTCCGTGGTTGAAAGGCTGGACAAAAGGGGTAGATACTCCCGGCGCAGAACACGGCAATGCGGGTCCCTGAGAAAGTCCCCGGGAAAAAAACCGTTCAACACGGTTTTTGGGTGGTCCATATGAAAATTGTCCGGAGAAGGCTTCATTAGCATGGACATCTCATAAAGAATGAGGCACAGGCAACTAAATCTCTAAGTCTCTAGCGTTTGAAGCCACGGAATTCTGCCAATCATACCCGAGTCAACATCAAAACCTGGTACTAAAATGGTCTACCCAAATCCAGCGAAGGAAATCAAAAGGCGGCCGCAACGAATTCTGGCTGAGACTGCCCCTTAACCCTCACCTACCCGTTTTGATTGTGGCTTTGAGACGGTCAAACTGGGTGTGAAACACCAAGTTGGAAGGGCCTTTTGCCGGGGGATCGAGAACATCGGACGAGTTGATTTTTTTCGCAAGCCGGGAAAGAAAAGGACAACCCGCAATCCGAGCTGAAACAAGCCAGTGAGAGAAGGTATCCAATGAAGGTGACGTGGCAAAAGCAATACGTCCTGCCGGTGGCCTGAACCAAAAACAACGGCTTACTACATTGCAAGATCAGCAGTTGCTTCCCACTCCATGGATGGACTACGCCGAAAAAATGGCCTAAACTTCCACACTGATTGTTCTCCACTCAAACCGCCCTTGCAAAACATGCACAGTCTGGGATTCTGGAAAGTAAGATGGCATTCTCCAAGACGCTGCTTGACAGTTAAAACCATCCTGCGACCGAAACTGAGCAGGGCTGTGGGAAATGACCACTTCTGTGATACAACAGTAAGGGCCTCCCAAAGACGTTCAACCCACCACATAACGGGGGAGATTCCCGAAGATATCACAGAAGTCGTGGGTACAACCCCGAGTGATCCCACAACCCTGAAACTGAGGGTCTTCCAATTTGCCTGCATCTCTTCCGAACCACACGTACCAGGATCTGCTTCGGCTGCGTCCGCATCCCTTTTCACGAGTCTTTGGGCATCCGGCGTGTTGCGTGGTGCGGCGGGAAGAATAATCGTAGCCTGCCCAAGTAGAAGTCGTTAAACACAAAACTTGCTGACCCAAAACCTCCAATTCGATGTGGTTTTTTTTTGGTTTCCGGGCCCTCAAACAGCCAGGTTGTGAGTTCTATTGAAAGCCGAAGCCAGGAGCCTCTGGATAGATATGAAACGCTTGGCTTTGACACTTGAACCTATGTGAGCCCGGGTGGGCCCAATCACCCTTTGAGGACGACGTTGAGTGAAAAGAGGTTCAAGTGCCTCAGCAGGTACTAAGGGGCCCGGGAATATGGGTGTGTCTTTCTTCGGGGGCCCCTTTTTGGTTCGCTTTGAAGTGACACCAAAAGGAAACCAACCAATTTGGGGGCTCCCCTACAAAAAGACACAGCCATAGTATGCAGAACAGCATCAGTCATGCGGTGGCTAAACGCTCCCCTAGGCAAGGCACCAGGCACGGCAGTGCGCGGCTCAACAGGATCCCGCGATATCTCTTTGTGCCAAGCTGTCATCTCAAAAAGCAGCCGCTTGAAAAGAGCCCCATATGTGTCACAATACGGGATCTCCAAGATGGTGGCTTTCCTTTTGGTCTCTCCTTTTCACCAGTGTGAAATGGATGCCCTCACACACATATACACACACACCACTAAGGGGCATGTTTGTCAGCATTTCCGAGCTCCAACGCTTCCAGTGTGGTAGTTGCCACTTTTGACGCACGGTATCTACCAAGACTCGTGCCACAGTGACTTGACCAAGTTTCTTTGGCCAGTAAGCATTCAGTTCAATTGGAATGGCATGCCTCAAGTACAGCCGCAAATCAAAGGAAGTGCTGACAGAATCGCTTCCTGCCGTGAGCTCCCGGCAACGGGCGAACAATTTGTGATCGGCCGGGGGAACCAAAAAGAAGCAAATGGATCGAGGGACCTTGGCATCGCGGAGGCGCTCGGGCGCCATCGCGGCGCCGTTTTGGGGCTGGCGGTTGCTCAGTCCGCTTTTGGCGAGGCCCTCGCCCCGAGCCTGAGCTCGACACATTGCGGCGCCCTGCGCAGAAGGGCGAGCGAGGAAGAAGATTGGTCCTTGTGTTATGTCAATGCGCCCTGTGGGAACCGACCGTCAGATCCACTAAATAATAATTGCCCCTGACGCAAGTTTTAGTGAGCCTGCGCTGCACAGATTCACCAGAAGTTTCTTAGCTTGTTTTTCTGCGTTGCTAATAAGTCGTTAGACAAAAATCAAACACCTGAAAGCAAAACAAACAAAAATAAATGAGAACGACAAATTAAAAGACTAGGCAGTCAACCAGCCAGCTCGAGCTTTACCTTTGTCCAAAAGCTTCAACTCCTGCTCGTAACTTAGAACATTCACTTCCCATTTGGAGTCCTTGATCAATTGAAAGACGATACTCAAACCAATTCTGCCAGAGGGGGGTACGTTAAACGGGAGGGCCTGAAACAAACCCTGTTGCATTCGGACGGGCTTGCGCTACAGCACAGCAATGCTGAAAAAATACTAAAGGGGGGTTGATGTCTCCACAAGAGCTCTCCAACCAAACATGCTGAATGAATCAGAAGCACGAGTTCAGACTCACCAGCAAGCCCAGGAAACATCAAATGGAAAAGGTATTCGAGCTGAGTCTCAGCTAGCTCGCTTCAGCAATACTGAAAGAATACACTAAAGTCATACAATATACTAGGAGCGTTCAAGTTGTGTCTCAGCAAAAAGCTTCGGCAACACAAACAAACAATGAATAACACAATGACATCACACAGTTGGCGGTTGCAGACTGCTTCAACACAAAACCCAGGGGAACACTAGTTGACATGGAAACACATATTTAGCTTCAAATGCATACAAACAGGCATGCTGAATGGAAGGACAATTCTGATCCAGTCTCAGCACCAAGCTTCCGTAACACAAATCAACACTACTACATGAAACAAACAACACGTTCACTTCAAGCAATGCTTAGCAATACTAGATCCATTGGGGCTTCAGCGAACCTGAAACAATGCCAATGTAGCTTCACATGCCGATTGCTGAAAGACATGTCAAATCATGTACAGGAAAGCAACTCCTGGGCACATACCGAGTCCATGAGACTCAGTTTTTAGCGACGAGGTTACCTCCGGATTGAAAACGAATGGCAATGGCACGCCACGCAAATGGGTGTGTCGTGTTTTAGGGGACTTGGTGGTTGTCGCTAAGCCACCACAACAGGGGTCCCCTCCAAAAAAACAAACAACAAATAAGCACCGGCTGTTAGGCATG